ATAATAAGGAAATATCATTTTAAAAATGCCAAGGGTCATTACCCAATTTGTCACAATCTTCTAACTCCTAGAATCCAGGAAACTGACATATCCTCAACTGAGTGAAATGCCATTATCAGCCAGCTGACAGGTACATCAGAAGAACCTTACTGCATTCCCACGGCCCCCATGGAAAGCCATAAGGAGGATGTTCAAAATCGTAAAGACCTGCAGTTTTTCTTTAACAACTGGAATGTAATACCTGCTGCTCTGATCCTAAGAGAAACATAGTCCTACCATGGCTAGTACCCAAGTGATTTTTAAAAATCCTCCATGGATATATTTTATCCCATTTAGATACATTAGTGGCCACACTGTATTTTATAATGGAATAACAGAAAGGCAGCATCCAAAAATAATTATTACTTGGGATTGTTCCCCCAAGTGTGTCTCTATGTTAGTTTTTTGTTTTAGGACAGAAAAGTCTCCTTCGAGTAGAATGTGGCTCCTGATGTCTACATAAACACATCCATGCAGCTTTTGTGGCAATGATACAGAAATTGTTTGCTGTCCCTTTCTTCAGGACATTTCCTGACTTTTCTGCCTAGCCTACAGTGGTGTCTTATTTAAGTACTAACCTGTCACAACCTTGCTTCATTTCTTCCAGACTTTATATCAGACCGGGCAAGAAATCTTTCTCCAAAAATTTGACCCACACTAGCGAGCTAACTGCAGAAGCTTCAAGGACATGGCCCAGCTAGATCTGTGGCTTTTATTATAGATACAAAAAGAAGTCAAACATGCATGGAAGATTAGCCTATGGTGGAGTACAGGAGTGATGTCCTATATATGTGTGTGTGTGCTTATGTGTGTGTGTCCTTGTCCATATGTGTGAGAGCATGGTTTAAATCCTATACCAATCAGGGGATTCTTAGAGTCTGCCAAAATCTGCCATCTCCCAAGACTAGAACAGAAAAAAGGCTTTACATACATATACATAAGCCAGTTGTATTATGGTTGATACGTTTTAAAAAGGTACTTCAGCCTTAGGGTGTAGGGAGCCATGGAGATGACCTTGGGAAAACAGAAGCCATTACAAAAAGAAAAATAGAATAAAAAAGTATGCCTTGAGCCCTGGGAGAGGAGGCAGTCTCAGGAAGAGATCCACATTGGCTCTTCCCTGAGTTCTTGGGATATAAACACAATTAGACTTGCAAGATTCTGTTCCTATAGCCTATCACAATAAAGCTTAGTTCTAGTCTTCCTGTGGAGTCTGACTCTTGATCTGGAGAACCTTAAAGGTTATATCTGCACGGCACCCTCAAGCTGTTCCTGTCCTGTGTGCTCATCCTGACTTGATTCTAAACTGGCTTCAGAAAATCCAGTCAGAACCGGAATACTTTGGCAGCAGCATGCTAGGTATTTAGGGCAGATCTGTTGTTGTTGCTGCTGTTTAAATTTATTACAGCCACCCACTTCTATATTCTCCCACTGGCAATTCCTCTGGTGCTATGCTGTGATCTTCCAACTTACATCGCTGGAAAGCAACTGTCAATTCTTTCCTTTGGATATATATAGTCGTATAACTGTTTGATTTGACACACACATACACACAAACTAACTTTTTTGACCTCCCTATGGACACCCATGGCACACTGGGTGTGTTTGTGAATTTTTCTAAACTACGGGGCTAAAGAGAAAAAAAAATGACTCTTTTCCACTCTGGACAGTGGTCTCGGTCCGCAAAGGAATTGCTGTATTAGTATTATATACTTTGCCCCTAAGAAATGGTCTTGTTAGGTCTGAAGGACTGTGACTGTATCCAAGCATCTTCTTTGAGAATGACACCTCAAACTATTCTGTACTCGTGGCACTCCATGGAACTGCGGTGTAAGAAAGAAAATTGTAGGATTAATTGGGGATTAAGAAAGAATAGGGATGAAAGGAGCAATCCCGTTGATACAGGAGAATGGGAGAAAGAAGTATTGAAAGATTGCAAATCAGAATCTAAACTCCAAGCCAACAACAATGCCAACAGCACTGCAGTCATGCACAGAACACATAAATAAAAGTAAAATTTCATGCAGGACAAAGGGGTGAAGGAGAACAAAATCCAGGAGGAATGTTAATGATACAGTAAGAAGGATATATATCTCCAGAAGCATGCATTTTGATGGAGCATTACAGCATTTATCTAAAGATTACTTCTTTTGCAAATTCAGTCTTCTACATTGGCTCAAATCAATGCTCTCTTTATAATATCGCACTCTTGATTCATATTCATTAGTTTCCTCATGAACCTAGAAAGTCGTGAGCTCTACAATATTTGAACATCTTATTTGAAACTGAGGCTTATCTGAGGTTTCCAACAGCCTGTAGAAAATATAGAGATCTGCCTTGATCAGAAAGAAAGGTAGGTGAAGCTCAGGAGAAAATGCAATAAAACTGTAATCATCTAGGGACTTAAATTCAATAACTCTGAAGTACAAGCAACAACTTTATATCAAGATTTTGCTTAACATAAATGGGAATATCCTGGTATTATTCTAGCACTGCAGAGAACTCAGATTGAATGAAAATGACAAAATTAAAGTTGAGTAAGACAGCAACAAAAGAATTAGAGAAAAGGGGCTAGGAAGTTCAATTCTCTGAATACCATAATATTAATAAAAGCTGAAACCATTGTTCTGTAACTTCCTTTTAGAAATATAAGAATTCAGCTTTTTGCAATAAATATGTCTATACAAGATAAAACGACTATAGAACTTCGATATATGAATCAGTACAAATCTACTGTATACACTGGAGGTGAAGGAAAGATTAAAGGATTTTGACAGATAGACCACCCTTTTACAGAAAATAAGCGTGTACAATCGATACCTATTAACTGTCTCATTAAAAAAGGTAATAATGAGATGCTAGTACAGATTTGGTTAAGCCAATAATACTGAATCCTTCTGGGGCTACACACTTTTTCAACCAGCATGATGGCAGGATGTCTAAGTGAGAATGAAGTATTAAACTGCAGGTATAACTTAAAGAAATAAAACTGTAATTATTGTCATCTTATTTCTGATCAAGACCTCTGCATCCCCGTCTTACCAGTCTAGCCAGCTATTATCCCCAGATGGGGGAATTAGTTGTTAATGACACAAAAATAGAACAAAAGTGGTAACAAAAGTACATATAAAGAATAATAATAAAAACTCAACAGGAGATCTCTGTAAAAGCTTTGGTCTCACTGTTGTCTTGGCTTCAACCAAAACCTCTGCATGGCAGAATGTCTTTGACATCACAAGATGATGAGTTAATCACTTGAATGCTCACCTTAGCAGGAAGATAGAGTATCAAGCAATCAAATAAATAAATAAGAAATGTTTTGTTTATATACAGGAAAAGTTTTCACGTGTATATAAACCCCTGAGGGGTTGTTGTCAATTGTATGAAATGGTCTAAAGGAAGCGTACACATTTTACTAAATATACAGCAAGCAAACACATTGGAATGTAGACACACAATATGGCAATCATCTATTTAATTTCAACCACAGCCAAATCTCCCTTTAAAACTTGCAATATGGGTCTGAGAAAACTCCTTTAACAGAATAGGGAGTTACTGTGGTCATGATTCAGTTCAAAAGTGATTAATTGGTGTTACTGTTAGCAGTACACCACAGTTCATTCTGATTTTGAACAGAGCTCTGGTGTACCATCAAGCATCTGGAATTTTCTCACTTTGTGCCAGTTTTCAACGTAAGGTCAGACAGAACAATGCAAATCAAAATCAATTAGAAACTCTCATGAGTACCCTGAGGAATTTAGTTAAATTTCATTCTTTTGAAAAGGATTTCAAACTTTACAACCATCCAATTTAAAATAAATAAACTGAGAACATTTTGATATTTTCTTTCAGCACAGTTCCACCAGGTCACACTGTGAGTACAGAATTTTGGATAATATACAAGCGACTCAATGAAATGTCTTCTTCTGACACATATATAGAATCAAATATATACAGAATTAATCTCAGATCCATGTATCATTCACCTACTGGAGCTATCTACCAGCTATGTTCTGGGCCTCTGTACAGACATACTGTATTTTCCAATCTATCTACCCTGGGGTAGTAGATAGAATTAAGATGAAAGTACTTGGTAAGATTGTGATTTATTTTTCCCCTAAGTAAAAGCAGAATGGTTGATGACAAATTTGGAACAAAATGAAGAATTTAAGCATGATCTAACAAATTACAATACCATACAATAAAAATATTTGTTTTGTTAACTCCAGAGAAAGTGGCCACTGAAACTTCATGTACTTCAAACAATTGGTGCCCTTTAGAAACCAGAATGATGTGTCATGACATGACATGGATTATATAAGTCATGTCATGTCAAATGACATGGGTTATATAAATGGTGTCATTTGAACAATGATGTCATGTTGCACATTATGTCACTTGCCCCTTGTCCTCCTCTGTGTGATGCCCATGCTTTTGACCTGTTGAAGTGTAGCTTCTAGTATGATTGCTGCATGTCTGTCCAATGCACATACTTAATAGGTTAAATTGCTACCTTCTGAATATGTCTTAGTGGCTAGATGCCTTTAAAGAATAATCAATAAGATCTTCAGTTTTCAAATTCCTGATACATCACAGCATTTTTGTTCAGTTCTTCTATCTTATTTTGCATCACACAAGTCAGGACAACAAGTACAAAGTCCAAGCTGAGAAATAATATCCTGACCAATTACTCTCTCTTTGCTGAGGTCATGCATGCATGGATACATGGTTTGCACATTGCAATAAACCATGATGAGCTCAACTACTTAAGGCTTAAGTAGTTTGCTTAATAAACCACAACTGGCTGAGTTCCCACAATCTGATGACACTTACAAAAGAAATCACATTACCAATTTGTATGCTGAGTGAACCCATTACAGAGGAGGCTGCTAATGGCCTATTTATTCTAGTATTTCATGCACCTTTCTATTTTACCACATACAAGAAACCTTTAGACTTACCTGTTTCCATTTTGCCATCTTGTGCTGCAGGTCCATCAGGAATAACACTCTTCACCTGGAGAAATTCGTCGGGCTCATCCCCACCAATGATGGTAAATCCAAAGCCCATATTGCTTTTTTTAAGAGTGGTGCTGAGGAAAGTGCCTTTCAGCTGTGAGGCATCCCGGGTGAAGAGCGGTTTTTCTACATCAGTCAACATAAAGGAAAATATGAGATGTTTGGGTCGCACGGCGGGTGTGCACACACACACAGACACACACAGACAAAATAACTGGGTTCACACAGTGCAGCAGAAGCAATAGCAGGGACAAAGTGGCATTTGTACAAGTAAAAGCAAAGTAAAAGTGCAAGCATTCTGAGAGAACCAAAAGTATTAGTGAGTTATTTTCTATGTAAAGCTAAAACCAGCAAGGGAAGGATTCACTTATCTAAAATAGCATTCCTTTCAGAATCTTAATGAATTTTCTCTTCATTCAGAGTTGAATTGTCGGGGTACTGAAAAGGGATCTAAAATGAGAAACTGGCAGGAGGAGGTTAGCCAGATGATTATTTTTCAACCTACTAAAGTAGCTTTGCAAAACAATTTGAATACTGACTTCTCAATCACACTAAGGGGCGGCGTGCATGCGTTCATATTTGTGTTTTCATGTAAGCGTTTTTCATCTTCACAAGCGTGATTTTAGAATCTGGCAGCTGAAAGGGTTCAGTAATCCAGAATTCACTTTCAGAGCGATCCCCTGAGAGTGGGGCAAACAATAACCCTCACTTGATAACGAGGGCCTCTGTGCTAGGCTTAATTAGGTGACAAAATCATGGGAAGAGGTGAAAAGCTTGGTGTTCATTTTTTTTTAAAGAATTCAACACACTACTTTTTATAAAAGTGCAGCCCAGGTAAATAGCAGCACTTCGACATACCATACAACCTGTACATTCCAGCATTGTCCCGCCGATATTGAGACAGGTCACTCACACTGCGAGACCTCTGAGGAGCAGGGCGCGGGTGAACATGTTTGGGCCTAGGTAATGTTGATGAGGCGCTGTCTACTGATATAAAGAAGAAGAAGCCTCATTCTTTGCGTATAGTCTTATATAAATATTTAATCTCTGCACCAATATAGACTGTTAATCACCCTTTTCCATTGCGTGCATTAACCTATTCATTACTAATATATGCATTGTTATTTTCCCACCAAACAGAGCATAAAGTCATCTTGCAGAGGTCGCCAAGGCAAGGTAAAGTCAAGTAATAAAGTCTCCCTCAGCTTAAGCTCAAAGGGTGAGGTAAAAAAGTAAAGAGTTCCTTGAGTTGAGCTCAACTCCTGGTGAATACATGTCCATGTCTATGTTCATGTCCATGTGCCACTGTCTTCTTGTAGTATGTTTGTACTTGCCTACTGCCCTGATGGTCTCCCATCTAAATGCAAACCAGGTCTGTCTCTGCTTAGCTTTTTCATCATCCACTAGAATTGGCTATTTACTGTGACCCGAGGAACAATTCTTGTATGAGACTCATACGTTATCTGCGCAGCTTCTTTCAGATAACAAAGCCCAGGTTAATGGGTGTGCCCTTTAGCAAAATGCAATGTGATGCTAATGTCTATAGAGATCAAACATTTGATCAGGACTATGACACAATGAGAAGAGGAAAAAATGCCTTTTTTTTCTTCTTATGCTGCAATCCTGTAAAACAAACATCCCTAAAGCTGCTATTGGTCCTCAAATGAGTGTCCCTCTCGTGGATGACTGCAATTTGGAAGGGAGGATTGGAGTTTGGAAGGAAAAAATGAACTCCCTTTCCCATGTGCCACAGTCTTGGTCCTTCTTTCTCTCATCCTCAGTGGTTGCAAGTAAAGGAAAAGAGACATGTACAATTTAGTATCATTTGTGTAAGGAGGACAACAGGACCAAGAGAACCAACTTATATTATCTACCCATTGGAAGTCATTCTTTCCCTGGTTGTTTGTTAAAAAGACAGAGTGGAGGTTCAAAGAGTCACTTTGTGATTTTGCTTCCTAAAAGGGCTCCTGTTCCCCATGGGACTGTACGGTCTTTCTATAGTCCCATCTGGATGACCCTATTGCTATGATTTTTAATGAGATCTTTCTGCTTCTCTACAGCAAAACAAATCTTACCAGTTAAGCAGCAATGTTGCTTTGTCTTAAGTAGGCTGGAGAAGATTCCCTCCCCCCACCTTGAATTAGATAGGCTTAACATGACAACATGTAAGAAAACTATTTAAACATGTAGTTTTACCCCATTCCTACTAGTTTTGGAATTTTAGAAACTGTGACGATCAGCCAAAATCTTTCAGGTTTTTTTGGAGAAAAAAAAATAGATGTTTTCTATATTCATATTCACATATTAAAAACACTGTTACAGATATAACACAAAGCTTAATAGAATTGATTCAGTCTGAAATGTGTGCAGTGAGGTGATAGTGTACCTCGGAAACTTTGGGCTGGCATAGGCTTGATTCCAAGTTCTGCGTTGGGCATGGTACGCTGTTGTAACTTCCTTTTGGCTTCCAAAACAGGATTTTCAAATTGGGTCCTTCTATTTATGTGGCTGAAAATATAAAGAAACCCATTGTCAACTGAAGTGATCCCTTTCAAAAACTGTCTAGTGAAACCTTAATTGACCGGACCTCAATGAAGAGACCTACTTTCTGTGCCAATTAAAGTCATAATGATGTCATTACACAAAAGTGGCAAAAGATGCTACTCATGTCGTTCATGTCATGACATCATTACCCAAACAACAGAAATGAATTTATGTGATAGGATTGCACCATCAAGGCTTAACTATGTGTTAAAATGAATTTACGTGTAAATGACGTGTAAGTAGCTTTGATTGGATTGCCTCCAAAGGCAATAGAAAGGGTTATGGAGCATCAAGTGCCAAGAGTATAAATGTAAGTCAGAGGATGGAGAGCTCAAGCAAATCTTAGAGGCCAGGAAGACTAGATTTGAGTGGCAAAATAGACTACAGGGAGTAGAACTATTGTTGCTATCCAATAGGTATCTGGCAGCTTTAAAAGAAGCTCTTGCACACTTGCCGTGTTTAGAAATATGCCAATAACAAATACAGACACATGAATGATGTGCCTGGTTCCTTCCCCAAGTTCTTGAAATGCAGTCTAGCTTAGTTACCTAGCAGTGAGGGAAAGACTTAGTACAAATAACAGATGTTTTTTTTTCATTTTTTTTTTAAATCCAAAAAGCAAAGAGTGGAATACTAGAAATAATTATCAGGCTGCAATCACATGGATTATATGTAATCATATGTTTGATTATTACCATTATCTTTTGTTAGCTATCAGGAGTGGCTCTTCTCAATCTTTCCCTTGCAATATTTGTTTTTTCAAATTTCAAAGAGCAAAAAATAAATTCAGTGCTTACTACTATCAAACAACTAGGAATCTGTACTCAGTGCAGAATTTTAGAGGACACATAGATTGTGGCTTTGGAAAAATCCAGTTAATATCCACAAGGCTGCAGACTAAAAAAAGGCAGACTGATAGAAAACAATAACCAACTACAAAATATGCATTTTGCAAATCTCTCTACCGATTGCCTGATCCCTGGCCTGGTATCTGTCTACCTGCCTGATAATTCTGAGGATTTTAGATTATGTTTATGTTCTGATTCTTGAAAGGTTTTTTAACTTTTTGTTTTTCACCTCTTGCATGGAAATAATCCTATTTTGGTTTCTCTGAGGCATTTGGGACTATCAACCGTTGAGTCAGGATAAATAGTATTGGATAGCTCCAATTACTCCTTACATTGAAACATTTCTTCCTTTTGTACAGGCATAGTGTTGACTAATGCCCTCCTTTCCTGCACATCTTTTTTTCTTCTGGTTGCACCACACTGCTAGTTTTCCTTGCTTCAATGAGTTGCAGCTATTTGCTCAGAAAGTCCCTCGCTGTATCACATTTGTCCTCTGTGGTGCACAACATGAATTATATGTGCTAATCCTTCTTGAAAGTAATATTTTGGACAGGTGATTTATTGCATTGAGCTAGTCCCTTTGATATATTCCACTCTTATGATGAATGGTAAATTAAAAAAAAGGCATGGAGTGTGGAGGTAGGTGGCCTCTAAGATTAGAAGAACAAAGTGGATTAGTTCAGGAGAAGAACAAAACTCAGGACCAGCTTTACCGAAGAGAAAGTAATGCAGAAGCTGTAGGCAATAGCATTTGGATTTCATGAACAGGCAACTAATGGTTAGTTCCTGTATTTGCTGTTAATATATATTTACTGCTAGAACTGTAAAGAGAAGCATGTGTGACATGCTTTGCTGTTATCTTTGCAAGATAACTTGTTTAGGTGTCTGGTGTAGGTGTAGGTTGGAAGATACCATTGACTTCTGTAACTCATGCAGCAAAATGACTCAAGCCAATCCTGACAGGAAGATATGTAACAAGCTGAACATTCATTTGTACAGGAATACAAATGGTATATACACTGTGTCACTAGATACCTCTGTGTGTTGTTTTTAAGCTTTATTTTGCAACTGTGAGGACTAGAAAAGTCCTGTTCATTTGGAGAGGAAATGGAATCTTTGGCACATTAGTTTTCATCAAACAACATGACATCTGCCAATTGCAACATTCTTAAGGTGGCGTTGTTGTTGTTGTTATTATTATTATTGTTATTCATGGCTTTTTTTTTCTCCCAGGGAATAATTTTAAAAAATTGTTCAAGAGGAGGAACCACAGTTTACTGATAAAAAACTCAAAGAGATCCTCATCATTTCCATTCAAAATGATCAGGTATCAGGTGACAAGGAAGAACTCCTGCCATAGTAGACCATTCAGGGTCAATGGTTCCACATAAGGGGACTTCCTGGGTCAAACATAGATTCTGTCACTGTTTTACATGAAACCGTTGCAGAAAAAGCTCCCACTGAATTACTTGTTCAAAAGTCACATCGGGTGCTTTATTCTCCTAGGTGCCTTTTTAGCTTACATCTGGGTCAGTTTTACAGAGTCCAAATCAGGCTGCTTTCAATAAACACCAAGGTCATGTTTAAGACTGCCTCACCGTAGATCGACAGAAGTAAAATCCATGTAGGAGACAAAACTGATGGCCACAGGTTGTGGGAACTGGCCCACAGAAAAGTAAAGGCACTTTTAGAAATAGGGTTCTGGAGAACTTTGTAAAATTCCATTCCTCCTCTAGATCACTGTGATCTGCCTATCCTGGAGAAGATCGAACAGCTCCCCAGAGGTTAATCCTTCAAACCAAAGGTATTCTGAATGTGGTACACTCTGTTTTGTCTGAAGCATCAGGTCTAGTGCACCATTTCTGGCTCAGAGGTTTAACTTTTGCAGAATTGATGGACCGATCCAAGAATAGCTAGAATGGCATGATCTGGAGGAGAAACAGTTTCTTACATATGAATTCAGAAGCCAAGGAGAGCCATTTCTTTTTCCAGTTTGTCACACAAATCTTTTAAACTGAACTTTTTATGATATGCCTATTTTTATAATATAATTAAAGCTCTGTGTTACAATGGGATATTATCTCCTTAAACACAAAGTCATCTGTTAAATATCAGTAATAAAAGAAAGGGTTATATTGTCACATTTTATGATGAAAAATGAGAAGCAATTTTTATTTCAAGCCTATGATTTTAGCAGATTAAAACACAGATCTTTATGCTAAGTATAAAGGTTTTTATGAATGTAATCCTGCTGTATTTCTAATGCCATTACAGTTTTACTGTATTATTCCAGATCTTGATTAGAGTTCCCTTACTGCTTCCTTTTAAATAATAAATGCTAGAATAATAGCAACCTGTTCCCAGAAATTTGAAAAAAAAAATGGTAAAATGGGGAAAGTGTGTTAAAACCAGTAGTATCACTCTCTTTCCAGGTCCATGTTTTTGAACAGAACTGCACCACTTCGGGACTGGCTCCGCCATTTATCTACTAGACAAAACAACTCTTTAGGAGAGAATGCATATGCACATTTCTGACATACCGAACAATATATTTAGCCTCTCTTTCAGTGACTCTAATAATCCAATTCTGGTGTTGAAGAAAACAATTTCAAGAGTCTTTGCTATGAGATGGGTGGTCATATAATTTGGGAAGGGAGG